ACGAGCAGTATTTCAGCCCAATGTATTGAGGGCTCGCGCTGTTCCCTTGGTTTGCTTTTAACCAAGCAGTGACAAGATGGTTACACTATCCCTCTGAAACCGTAAGCGGGCCTCTGAAGAAATGATTTCTTTTATGTTGCTTTAGCAATGATGTCTTCTCACAACACAGAACACTAATTGGGGCACTCAAGGACTGCTTGAGCCTAGTGTTTGGTTGGAAGTGTCACCTCAGACCCTAACATCCTTACCCAGAGTCTGGAATGTTTGGGAGGGGCTTCACCCCAGCCCCTGGCATCCATTTTGGAAGGTTGGGTGGAAAGTTCCATTTCAAGACACCTCCCCTGGGAGTTGTCCCAGTCCAGACTCCACCTCCAAGAAAGCCCACCAAATGGTGACCCTCCCCAGGGAGGGTCAAAACCACTCCCCACTCCCAAGTGTTTATAGGAAGGTCCTATTAACTTTGTCTCTGGACGTGTTTTCAGCCTATTTAAACTGCCCCCCAGAGGAAAAAAACATTCCGTTCACCTTTTCCCTCTCCGTGTTTTCCGGAGGACCACCCAGGAGCACTGGCATCCATTAAACCTGGGCCTTTTTCTAATTCGGTTTGATTTGGTCTGATTTGAATTATTGCATAGGTGGAGATGTTTATCAGGCCAAAAAAACACCTGGGACTTGGGGGCTAGCCTTAGCAACATAGTGAGACCCTGGGAGGGAAGAGAGGAGGAGAAAAGAGAAAGGTTTATCTTAAATTTTGGTGTCAGAAATACAGAATTATTATCAGTGGGCCCTATTGCTTTTAGACAAGGGAATCATGACAGAAATGTCAAACGGAGCCAAGCTGCTCCCCTCACAGCCAGAGTGTGAGAAGAAAGGACAAGAAAAAGCCAGGGGCATTTCTTCCTGCACCACACCTCTTAAGATTCCACTGCCCTTCACCGGCACCTCCTTGGGGACCAAGCCTTTAGGGACCTTCCTGGTCTGAGTTAGTTATCTTGCCGCTGAGAGACCAACAGTACAAAGCTAAGGAACTGACTTAAAGGAAGATGGCTGTGCGCTGCCAATGGGTGCTGGAACAACACCAGCACCATCTGCAAGAGCAGCAAGAACTCGTAACTGCAGTGCCATCTCTCCAGCCCTGACTTCTAGAGTTCCTGATCAGGGGGTACGAATGCCCAGTTTTTATATTTCAGAGAGGGGTAAGGGAGGGAGGAGGGGGGCACAACAAGGAAGGAAGGAAAGAGAGGTTAATGTAATACACCTGACATGAAAGTCCAGGGAGGACTATTTGGAGGGAAAGAAGAAAGGAGATCAGAAAGAAAGAGACAGGGAGGATGGGAAAGAAAAGCATGAGAAACAGATAACAACAGGGCAGTGCCTGCCTTTATCTAAACACTCGGGTAGCGGAGGCTGGTGGGTCCTTGTAAGCTCAAGGCCAGTCTGACACACAGTCAGTTCCAGGACAGCCAGGGCTGTGTAGGAGATCTTGTCTCAAAAAAAAAAAGTACAAAGTATAATGACATTTATGTGTGAAAATGTCATAATGAAACATTATTTTGTATGCTAATTTATTTATTTATTTTGATTTTTCGAGACAGGGTTTCTCCGTAGCTTTTTGGTTCCTGTCCTCGAACTAGCTCTTGTAGACCAGGCTGGCCTCGAACTCACAGAGATCCACCTGCCTCTGCCACCCAAGTGCTGGGATTAAAGGCGTGTGCCACCACTGCCCGGCTTGTATGCTAATTTAAAAAGTATTACTCAGAAACATCAAAAGAAGTCATCACCCTTCACCCCCAAAACACAGTATAAAAGAAACAGGACAGTATGAGCCATTCAAGGGGAAAAAATTTAAAAAAAATCATAGGGCTGGAGAGATAGCTCAGAGGTTAAGAGCATTGACTGTTCTTCCAAAGGTCCTGAGTTCAATTCACAGCAACCACATGGTGGCTCACAACCATCTGTAATGGGGTCTGGTGCCCTCTTCTGGCCTGCAGGCATACACACAGACAAAATATTGTATATGTAATAAATAAATATTTTAAAAAAAGCTTAAAAAAATCATACCAGAAAGGTTCAGGGATCATGAGGATGAGAGACACCACAGAAAGGCCAGATGGCTGACTTGACAAATTATTTGACGCAACTAATCTTGATTCGATGAGCTAAGTGAGGATGCATACAATCAAACAAATTGTATATACGATCAGATGGGAGTATAGACAAAAAGAAATTTTTAAGCTGTTTTTTATATAGCAAAAATATTCTGAAGCTGAAAAATATAACAGAAATGAAACCTTTAGTAGACTTAAGATTTAAAGGAAATCTGAGCAGGAACAATAAAGAATGGCAAACGTGAAAATCAGATAAAAATATCAAATGTAAGGAATAGGGAACTAGAGAGATGGCTCAACAGGTTAAAAACACTCTCTGGTCTTTCAGAGGCCTGGGCTCCATTCCACCACCACATGGCAGCATGACAAGGGCCTGTGACTTCAGTTCCTGGGGGAATCTGATGCCCTCTTCTGGTCACCAAGGGCACTGCATGCACATGGTGCACAGATGTACATGCAGGCAATCACGCATATATATACATCAATATTTTTTTAGAAGAAAAACAATCCAAGAAACAGAAAATGTACTAAAGTGAACAGATCCTTCCAGACATGTGAACACCATCAAGGTGACCAGCATATCCATCCTGCCCTGACTTCCCTATAAGATTAAACAAACCCTTTCCCCCAAGTTACTTTGGCTGATGTCTATTGCAATAATAGAACCCTAGCTAGAACAATTGCAGTCCTAACATCTGGAGGCAGAAGCTAACAACCGGAGATTAACCGGAACACACAGCAAGATGCCCGTCTCAAAACCAAAACCAAAGTGGAAGCAGGGGCAAGGGACACAGAGTTCAGCTGGCAGAGCGCTTGCTTGGCATGCATGAAGCCCCCGGGGTCAGTCTCCAGCACCGCACGAAACTCAGGGCACTGGCACATGCCTGTAAGCCTAGCACTCAGAAGGGGTGGGCAGAAAGATCTGGAGTTTAAGGACCTGCTTGGCTACACCACGAGTTCTACGCCAGACTGGGATATATGAGACCTGTCTCAAGAAAGAGTAGAAATACAGACACTCGCAGGCAGGATGTGATGGAGTTCATTATCAGTAGACATTTACTGTAAGAAATGCTAAAGAGTTCTGTGGGTTGACGTCAATACTGCTAGACAGCAGCTAAAACCCAAATAAACACCTCTAGTAGACACAGACAAGCCTTGAGAATGCTGAGTTACTGTACCTCTGGTTGCTAATTCCACTCAGTGGTTTCTACATTCACCAAATGGGGTTTGTCCCTGGAATACAAGAAATATTCAACATAGTATTTAAAAATGCCACAGGCTACCTGAAACAGCAGGTCAAAACCCCACACACTAATCCCAACATACATAGGAAAGAACATTTGACAAAGTGAAATATTAAAAAATAAATGATTGCCGGGCGATAGTGGCGCGCGCCTTTAATCCCAGCACTCGGGAGGCAGAGGCAGGCGGATCTCTGTGAGTTCGAGGCCAGCCTGGTCTACAGAGCTAGTTCCAGGACAGGCTCCAAAGCCACAGAGAAACCCTGTCTCGAAAAACCAAAAAAAAAGAAAAAAAAAGATTAAGATTATTAGTAAAGCAGAAACGAGGCTGGGGAGAGGGCTCAGTAAACGGCACTTCATGTTCTTTCAGAATGCTGGCTCCGGGCTCCGTGCACCCACTGCAGTGGGGCTCACAAGCCCCTGTAACTCCAGCTCTGAAGGATCCCACACTCTTCTCTAGTCCTCTGAGACCTCCTGCACTCACACGCACACACCCATACACAGACGCACATGCACTCACATAACTAAAATAAATACATCCACTGAAAAACAAAAACAAAGCAGGGGATGGAGAGATGGCTCAGTGGTTAAGAGCACCGGCTCCGGTTCCAGAGGGATTCCTACCGCTCACAACCATCTCTAACTCCGGTTCAGGGGCTATTGCGCCCTCTTCTGGCCTCTGAGGACGCTGCACTCATGTAGGGCACAAACATACATGCAGGCAAAACACACACATAAAATGAAAACAAAAGAAATTCACCAAGCTAGAAGAAAATTACCTTAAATATTAAGTTTCAGAGTGCGAAATTAAGCCCTGAAAATTGAAAAGGTACAATGTTACTAATGAAGATTGCTGCACTTGAAGCAGTTGGGGTGTGCTAGTGTGAACCCCAGCTTTTGCTCACTACCGGAGTGATTGCTTTTTGCCTCAGTTTCCCTGCCTGTGAGATGATGGACTAGCTCACACTTGAAAGGGAATCTGAGAAGTAGTGCAATAACCCTGAGGATTCAGAAGCTTGCATAGATTATTATGAACTGCTTGCTAGCACGGGCCTTATGAGGGCGGAGTGAGAATCAGGGTGCTGGACAAAGAGTGGGAGGGAAGCTTCACACACCCAGGAGCCACCAGGCCACCAGAGTCTGGCGAGGGACGAGCCGGATGGAGAACCCGGCGGCGACACACCCTAAGCAACAAGCTCACACGCTGAGGCCAGCGGCAAACACGCGTGCGCAAGAAACGCAGCGCGGGCTGGGGGTGGAGGGAGGCACGTAGTCCGGGTAACAGGAGGCGTGGCTCCGGGTTTCCTGGGCCTCCAGAGGCGGGGCACACGGGGATTGGCCGGATGAGGCGGGCGGCGATGGGCGGGGCGGAGGCGGGAAGCGATTGGCCGGACGAGCCGATGGGCGGGACGGGCACGCGGAGATTGGCGGGATGCGGCGCGGCGCGGTGAGTGTACCGCTAAACGGGATTAACGTGGGTGCTGGGCCGGGCCGGGGACTCGCGGGGCCGCGGGCCGGGGGGTTCGGTGGTGCTTCGGATTGCTGAGTGGGCCCGAGCTGGGGGCGTCTGCTGCGGGGCGGGGCGGGGCGGGGCGCCTGCCGCCTCCGGCTGGGGACACCGTGTGGGCCTCTGCCCATCACCGTGCGTGTTCGATTTGTATTGAGTTCACATGTGCCGTTTTGGCAAATTCGTTGAGTCCGCTTCCTAAGCCAGAGTTGCGCATTATAGGAAGCAGAGCCAACTAGAAGAATTTGAACTTTGTATTAGCTGTACTAAAAAAGTAAAATGAAAAGAAAGCTGTGTTCAGAACTTGCTACGCTCATTTCACCTATGCAATGGAAAATGTGTTGAAGCACCCAATACTATTTACTGAAATCCTCCGTGCATCTCCTGAGCACATCTTAATTGGGCTCATTGTGTGACCGTTGTGCAATACCTCGTTGAAGAGAGAAAAAAAAAAAAAACCTCTGCCTTCCTGGAACTTAGGGTACGCTTGGAGGAGGCAAAGTAAATATGCTTGAGAAGACAAAGCAGACAATTGGCGTGGCAGATGTAGTAAAATTAGATGTGGGGAGGTGAATTTTGAGGAGAGACTTGAAGGGGAAGAGCCAGTGAACCTGGGAGGCACACAGAGTAAGTAACCAGGCCTCTGCTGGAGCCCCTGCTGTGGTAGGGACGCTTGGTAGGAGGAACAGGTGGGAGGGGAGGACCTGCCTGCCCAGAGCTGATCTTCCAGGTAAGGGCTTGGGGCTTTATTTGCTAAACTAGCAGCCGTCGGAGAGTCTTGAGCAGAGCAGGGCCAGCTCTATGTTTTCTTTTTAATCACTAATTATATTATGGCAGGCTTCTTTGACGATGCCTTGCAGCGTTCCCAGAAGTAGGGTGGTTTCCAGGGAAGTGGGTGGAGGCAGATCAATAATTCTATTTGAGGGTATGCTGAATTTGAGACTCTGGAAAGTGGGTAGAAATATGGAGATGGTAATGACAAGTTTGGAGCCAGCTCCGGGTTTTATCTGATTAAGTGTACAGGGTGACATCTCCAGACACACGTATGCGCCCCTCCTTTCTCAGTGCCCATCGGATGCAGTGTGGGCAGCTTGCTTGGGACACCCGGGGAGCTGCGTTGCAGGGATGCCTTCACATGTCTCCACAGTGATGCTCCTGAGCCTGGACACAGCTGCTGGACAAGCCAGAGGCACTGCCATGTTTTCAGAGCAGGCAGCACAGCGGGCGCACACTCTGCTCTCCCCACCATCGGCCAGCAATGCCACCTTTGCCCGGGTGCCTGTGGCAACTTACACCAACTCCTCACAGCCCTTTCGATTGGGAGAGCGCAGCTTTAGCCGTCAGTATGCCCACATTTATGCCACCCGCCTCGTCCAGATGAGACCCTTCCTGGTGACCCGGGCCCAGCAGCACTGGGGTAAGCTTGGGGTATGCTTGTCCCAGAACTGGGACTTTTCTCTAACCTATTAGCACTTTCCATTTACCGTGGAAACGGCCTCCTTAGCTCTCTGATGCGTCTTAAAATAAGAATGAGGATTAAATTTACCTGTGGGGTTAAAGTTAGGTTTTGTTCGGGGATTCGGAATCTGTTGTTTCTGTTGGCATCCGAGGCTTCTGTGTGGTGCTCGAGTCCCCCTTCCTGCCGTGGAATTGCCTGCTCTCTGGGTGGAGCTCCGAGGAATGTTCTTGGCTGCTCCAGGGCACAAGTGTGGTTCTGGCCCAGCCCCCACTTCACCCTGCCTCCTCAGCAATCTGTTCTAGGATTGGGTCTGTGCTGATGAATCCCTGGAACTTTCTGGAACTGGCATTCTTCCTGTGCAGCTTGGCTTTCCACATCTTTCCTGCTGAGCACAATGGGATGGGCATTCACACGCGTTCTGTTTGCCTCCTGGGGGCTCTGAATGGCAAGGCTGCCGGCTCCACGGGAAGAGAATGAGACCAAGGTGGGGGGGACATGAAGTGGGAAGTGGAAGGTGTATTTTCAGAGGATGGAGCACCAGGCAGAGCAGGGGCTGGCACATAAGAACCCAAAGTCTTAGCTTGGCATGGTGGCACACACCTTTAATCCGAGCACATGGGAGGCAGAGGCAGCTGGTCACTGTGAGTTTGAGGACAGCCAGAGCTATGTAGTGAGACACTGTCTTAAAAAAACAAAGAGAAGAATCCGGAGTTTTAAGGACACGGTAGTTGTCAGGACAAGCATGTGACTGAGATGTAGGTAATGCGGTTCACAGTTGCTTCCTGTGGCCATGGTAATGAAGTGTTGTAAACAGGGGACTTAGGACAACACATATTTAGTCTCCCATGGTTCTGCAGGCCAAAAGTCTGAAATCAGGTTGTCAGCAGGGCTGGTTCCTTCTAGAGGCTTTAGGGTAGCTCCTTCCAGTTTCTGGTGGCTCCAGGAGGCCCTGGGATTGTGCCTGAACCACTCCAGTCTCTTTCCTGTCTTCGCACGGCCTTGCTCTGGCCTTCCCTCCCTCTGTAGATGCTGGGCATCAAGGTCCCACTCCACCCACAGTCCCTTTATTCCCTCTGGTGGACCCTTTCACCATCACATTGAGGTCCAGGGAGCCTTCGTTTAACAGGCTCTCCCTCCTGGCAAAGGACGGGGAGCAGCTCCTGTGAGCCCCAGTAAGTGTCCTGTGATAGAGGCTGGGCAGCAGGGTCCTCTGGGTGTCATCAGGGTGGGATCTCATAGTCTGACTCTGCCCTCACATCCAGGCAGTGGAGTCACAGTGAAGAAGTTGTGTGAGCTGCAGCCTGGGGAGCAGTGCTGTGTGGTGGGCACGCTCTTCAAAGCCATGCCGCTCCAGCCCTCCATCCTGCGGGAGATAAGCGAGGAGGTGAGCCCTACCACCCTGGTGCGCCAACCTTGTCCCGGTGGATTGAGGCTGGACTTCTGACTGGAGGGGGTAGCAAAGCCAATCCAGGCAGGCAGGGGTTGTGGTGCCACTTCATAACACAGGAACTATGGCAACCTGGGCTCTAAGACCGCCTTCCATCTGTCCCTCAGCACAACCTGATCCCCCAGCCTCCTCGGAGCAAATACATCCACCCAGACGATGAGCTGGTCTTAGAAGATGAACTGCAGCGCATCAAACTGAAAGGCACCATCGATGTGTCCAAGTTGGTCACAGGTGGGAGCCCAGAGGGGTGGGAGAGCTGGCAAGGGTGTGGATGGGGCAGCCTGTGAATTACAGGCTGCCTCCCTAGAGTCTTGGGAAGTAGATATGGGTTCACGTGGTCAAGGGCTGCCAATCCATGGAGGATTATCTCGGAGATCAATCTTCCTGTCTCCATTCAAAAGCAGTGAGCCCGAGGAGACATCTAATCGAGGCTTCACTGGAGTGGCTGAGGGGTGGCCTGGAGGTAGGAGACCCACAAAGGCTACCTTTGGGTTCTCACTTCACCCTCCCTCAGGAACGGTCTTGGCAGTGTTTGGCTCCGTGAGAGACGATGGCAGGTTTCAGGTTGAGGACCACTGCTTTGCTGACCTGGCTCCACAGAAGCCTGTGCCCCCTCTTGACACAGACAGGTGAGGTACCCTACTCCAGCACCCCAGTGTCCCTGTGGGGAGGAGTCACCTCCTCCTTCCAGCAGCCCACAGACCTCACTGTCCTCTGCAGGTTTGTGCTGCTGGTGTCCGGGTTGGGCCTGGGCGGAGGTGGCGGAGAGAGCCTCCTGGGCACCCAGCTGCTGGTGGACGTAGTGACAGGACAGCTCGGGGACGAAGGGGAACAGTGCAGCGCTGCGCATGTCTCTAGAGTCATCCTTGCCGGCAACCTCCTCAGTCACAATACCCAGAGCAGAGATTCCATCAACAAGGTACGGAGTTCACCTGACTGCTCAGCCTGGCCTGTTAGCATGACTGGGCCTGCTGCTCCAGGGCTGCCTCATAAGGTATGGGAGCCAGGGTGGAGTTCAGGACCTGTGCAGTCAGCCACTCTCTACCTTCCAGCAGGTAGAGTTACCTGCTGCTGGCCTTTGCCTTGCTCAGAGCTGAGGCACTGAGGGCCGGGCCACATCCTAGGTCTCTTCTCCCAGGCCAAGTACCTCACCAAGAAAACCCAGGCAGCCAGCGTGGAGGCAGTGAAAATGCTGGATGAGATCCTACTGCAGCTGAGCGTGAGCAGCTTGGGAAATGGCAGGGCTGTGGGAACCCAGCTGGTGAAGCTGCTGTCGAACAGGGAAGGGAAGGTAGGGTGGGCAGAGTCGTAGGGGTGGGGCCCTTCCGCGTTCTATGAGCTCTCCCTGCCTTGTGCCCTCCAGGCCTCGGTACCTGTGGATGTGATGCCAGGCGAATTCGATCCGACCAACTATACACTCCCGCAGCAGCCCCTGCACCCCTGCATGTTCCCACTGGCCACGGCCTATTCCACACTGCAGCTGGTCACCAACCCGTATCAAGCCACCATCGATGGAGTAAGGTAGTCAACATGTACAAGACACGGGGACGAAGTAAGCCTGGGAGAGCACAGGACTGCAGAAGGCCCTCCTGGCATCTGTCTACCCTGCAGGGTTGGCTTGGGCATCCCCGTGAGGCCATCGGGTAGGATCTGAGATAGTCTTTGTGGCTGAGTGGCAGCGATAGGCCCCCCCCCCCGCCCCCCCGGTCTCCACCCAGGCCACAGTCAGCAGAGCCTTCCTCTTCCAGGTTCCTGGGGACGTCTGGACAGAATGTGAGTGATATCTTCCGATACAGCAGCATGGAAGACCACTTAGAGATCCTAGAGTGGACCCTGCGGGTCCGTCACCTCAGCCCCACAGCTCCGGACACCCTAGGTATCTGCTCAGTTACACTTCAGAGAAGCCATTCTGGAATCAAAATTCTGTCCACGCCCAAGGCCTGTACAATTGCAGACTAGGAGCGGAAAGCCCCTAGCATCACTGGGCCTGTGATCACCGCGCACTGTCACAGTTGGGGTGCTGTTGCATTCAGTGAGAATGTAGCTCAACAACAGGTCTTTCTGCAGGGTGTTACCCCTTCTACAAAAGTGACCCGTTCATCTTTCCGGAGTGCCCCCATGTCTACTTCTGTGGCAACACCCCCAGCTTTGGCTCCAAAATCGTCCGAGGTAAGTTTTACCTTTGGGGGCTCCAGGCCTGAGTCATCAGAAACAACTTTGCCTTACAAAGGTCCCTACAGGATAGACACTGTGTGTGGTGGCGATTGTGTTATGGTGTGTGGGGTGGCTGACTGGCGAGGGTCTGAGGTGGACCCGAGCACATGTACAACCGTGGCTGCTGTTTCTGGGGACGTCCCTGTAAGGCAGGTCCTACCCAGAACCTAAAGTGGGCCCCGTATGTTGTCTTGCAGGTCCTGAGGACCAGGTGGTGCTGTTGGTGGCCGTTCCTGACTTTAGTTCTACACAGACTGCCTGTCTGGTAAACCTACGCAGCCTGGCCTGCCAGCCTATCAGCTTTGCAGGCTTTGGAGCAGAACATGATGACCTGGGAGACCTGGGGCTGGGTCCCTGAGGCAGCCGGGCCATTCACCCTTGCCACGTGAGCCCTGTAAATAAAACACAATTGTTTTTACAGATCTGGGCCTTGAGCATCTGGGCTTGTGTGGGATGGGACTGACGGGAGCCCCAACAAGCCAGCCTCCTCTCCCGCTGAGCAGAACAGTGCCGTGGGTGCCATGAGTTTGTTTTATTGCTGTGACCGTGGCTTCCTTGCCTGCCCTCCCCAAAGGTTGGCAGGTAAAACTGGAGCTTCTGCACAGACTCTGGCTTAGGAGTCCTGGTGGCCTTGATGTCCCACACTGGGGAGGGTGGCCCACCCAGGGGGACCTCCGATGGCTAAGTGTCAGCCAGCACGGGCTTGGGAAGTGCTGTCTTAGTTTGAATTGGGCATTGGGATCCCTGTCTCAGAAATCCCCAAAGTTCACTGTGTAGGTCTCCACCGTCGTGAATGGAAATGTGGGGCCCGTGTCCATCTCCTCTTCCTCCTCTTCCATTTCCTCCTCCTCCAGCTCAGTCCCATACTCTGTCCCAAACTCTGTCACTATTTCTGTGTAGGTCTCAGTCTCTGACTCCTCCCAGCCTGCAGTGGTTGTAGGTGGAATTTCCGAGGGCCTCCAGGTAATGCCTGGTGTAGGGCCTGGTGTAGGGGAAGAGGGAGGCGTAGGGGAAGGGGTGGGGCTTATGGCAGGGCCTGTGGTAGCATTGAGGCGGCGCAGCCGCATCTGTTCCCTCATCCGGAGCCGGTACTGTAGACGGCGCTGCTGCATGCGCCGCTGCTGGGGGGTCATGGGTCGTGAGGGGTCGATGCGGAAAATAGGCCGGTTCCCATTCATAGCCAAGATCTCCCGAATGCGCTTCCAGTTGGAGCGAGCCAGGATGAAGTTGCACTGGGTGGCCCCGATGTCATAGTCCACATTGCAGGTCTTGGCACTTGAGGTGTAGCCCTCTGCGTGGGCCGTCACACGGTACTCACCCGGGTTGAGGATGCGCCAATAGTCACCTCCACTCGCTGTATAAAGAAGATAGGCCTGGTTGTCCCAGGGCCTCGCCAGCTCTGCCCTCTCCGATTCCCCTAGGCCCAGTTCTCCCAAGTCCTGGGCAGGCCCAATACCTCTGGCAGAGTGCAAAGGACCCTCTGGGTCCTGGGTTGCTATACAAAGCAGGCTTGCTTTGCTACTTGGGGAGACTTGCTACTACTTTGGGAGGGCAAGGTCCCCATCTGGGAAGGCAAAGCTATACACACATAGCCAGGTGTCATGACACTAGCTCTATAATCTTAGTGCTTGAAGCAGGGCTTGAATTCAAGGCCAGCCTGGGCTCTGCAGAAGTTCCAGGCCAGCCAGAGGTACATGTCCGGGATTCTTAAAAAAAAAGGGTAGGGATGGGGAGGGTACATGCCGAATACCTGTCTTCACACCATGGTTGATGCCATTCACGGAAATGGTAGCATTGGCAATGGGAATGCCTTGCTCATCTGTCACCACACCCTTAATGCCACGGTGCACCTGTAAAAGGGCCGTGTGGGCACACATGGAGATTCCGTGTCCACACTCCTCCCAAGCTTCGCCCTCCTCCTGTGTAGCCCAGGCTGCCCCACCTGCTCCATGAAGGTGAGCAGCGCCTCCTTGTTGTTCTCCCACTCCCGGGGCAGCTCACTCTCGTGAGGGAACTTGTCACAGCCCAGGTAAATAGAGAGCTCCAGGCAGTTAGTATGCAGGTAGCTGAAGTCATTGATAGCTGGACAGACAAAAACAGACCGCGGTCATCCCCTCCCCAGGCTACACGCCTTCCCCAAGCTCTCCCCGGGAAGACTTACTGCCAGACCGAGGATTCCACTTGGCCCCGTTGACAATGCCCATGCCACTGGTGTAGTCCTGGGCCTGGCACCCTCCCCGGTAGGGCTCGGTCATGGTGAGATGGGCAGAGGCGAAAGAGATGGCCAGCCAGCGGAAAATGGCGTGATCTGGAGTCTCCTGGGCCTCGGAGCCCTCATAATCATCTTCTCCACGGGCAGCTGCCATCGCTGCTGCCAACAGCTGCTCCTGGCTAGGCGTCCGAGCCATGTCATAGGGGTAAGACACAAGCCGCTCACCACCGTTCAGATTTGCACCCAGCACGAAGGGGTTCTTTTCCATCCAGGAAATGATGGCCCGGACTTCTGTGGAGACCTGGAGATGTGTGGTGGAAGAAGCTATGTTCCCTAACGTCCGTGGAACCCCACATTAGCGATGTACTTCTCACATCCTCCCCATGCCCCCGATTCTTCCTCTTGCCCTCCAGGGTCTCAGTGCCTCCACCTCAGCTCCCTGTCAGCAACCCTCCCTCCACCCCAGCTGCCGCCACTCAGCACACCAGGACCTGTTCCTCACCGTGGCATCTGCGGACAGGTAGCGTTCAGGGATTGGCAAGTTATTGTTGGGGACCCTGTAGGGGACCCATTTCTTTTCCTCAGCTGCCCAGAGCACAGAGTTGAGATCTGGGAAGTCCTCAAAGATGTCAAAGCCCTCCTCAGTCCACAGCCCCAGTGCCCAGTTCCCAAACTCTGAGCCCTGCAAGGAAAACCATCGGTGACTATGGGGTGGTAAGTCAGGGAAGGTCCACCCATGCCTCCAATCTCTACCCATGTGAGCCCCATAACCCACCATCTGCGCGGCCACCTCGTAGCCGTCTGGGTTCAGTGAAGGCACCAAGTGGATCCGCGTGTCCTGTACCAGGCTGCGCACTCGGGGATTCCCGTCGCGGTACTCATGGCACAGGTACTGCATGAGCAGTAACAGGAGCTCTCGGCCGAGCACCTCGTTGCCATGGATCCCAGCTGTGTAGCGGAACTCAGGCTCCCCTGCAAAGACAGGAGCCACAGTAAGCACTTAGCCCAGCAAGGCCCGGATACACCCAAAGAGTTTGGGGGCAGCTGAGACTTGTGGGGCTCAGCAAGGCGGGCCTGGGTCCCCTGGGGTCTCCAGGTCAGGGACCAGATGGTGAGTGCTATATATCACTGTAGAGGCCCAGCAGGAGGGAAGCAGTGCGGGGACCCCATGACTCTAGGCATTGGCAAAACAATGTCCCAGGCCCTCACCCAGCTCGTGCTCCCCAGGGTTGTCTGAGATCTCCATCGCGTAGATCTTGAGCCCCCGTGAACTCTTGCCCAGGCTGTAGGTGCGGGTAATTGTGGGGCATTCCTCATTTACCATCTTCATCAGCTGGCAGGGACAAGACATGTCACTGAGTTATCCTCCTGCTTCCCTGACGGGTTCTATGGGAAGAGGCAGGTAACTCCCGTCCCTCTCAGATGACCAGGTACTAGTTCTTTCCCTAAAGCAAGGGGTGGCCAATACTCCTTAAAGGGAGATTATACCTTTGGAATAGTAGGGACAGGGCCACGTACAAGCTCTCTTATACCCCATCCCAGCCTGTACTCTGGCTTCTAACCTGGCGCATATCCTTATAGCTGTGGTGCCGGAAGTCCAGGTTGTCAGTGATTACCACCTCGTTCTGTGCATAGTAGCTGTGGACAGCTGCAGAAGAGCAGGTACACAGGGCCTGAATCAGCTGCCCTTTGCTCCAGACCCAAGTCACACTGCGGCCACCCCAAGCCACAGCCAGCCCCTCTTCACTCACGGGTCACGGGGCAGCCTAGCACCTCCAGCCGCATGCACAGGCTACCGTTCCAGGTGAGCGGATAGATGCGAATGAAACGGGCGACAACTGGCTCGGGGAGCTCACTCAGCACAGGCGTGTCCTTGTCCACATTCCCATGGAAGGTCTGGAGAGAAACAGGCCTCTGTGTAGTACCCTGCTCTCCCAAGAGCCCACCCTGGCCCAGAAAATGAGGGCAAAGCAGAAGACTCAGGCACCCACCATCTCCTCATAGCCATTGGTGTACATCACCCAGGTCTGGCTGTCGTTGCTGAAGCCCACGAAGAAGGTGGTCACAAAGTCGTCACTGTGGAGCAGACATAGCCAAGTAAAGTGTCAGCTAGGCAGTGGAACATGGCCTGGACCTCTGGAGCCAGATTCTCTGTCTGGTCATAGGCCATGGCCGCTGCAACACTTGTCTGTCCGTCTGAACATGCAAACCTACAACTAGGACTGAGGGGCAGGTACATCTCTCACTGATTTTTCTGGCCTTCCCAGTTCAGGTCAAGGGCCATCTGGAATGTCCCAAACGGGACTCAGAGCCATGCTAAAGTCCCTGCCCACTGCCTAAGAGCCCGGCTACATACTGGATGCTGGAATCGCGGCCCTGGGTAATGACGCCTGTAAACCGAGTTGTCCTCCTGGTGTCCACCTCGATCCACTGGGTCTGTGACTCATCCTCAGCACACCACGCCCCGTCGTAGTAGTCATCTTCATTAGTGCCAGCCTGTTAAAGGGGATGCTGAGCACGGGCAGGGGAGCCCTCGCCCACTGCAGGACGGACCGTCCACTCACCCACCTGCATGTTGAGCCGGCCCCGCTGAGCTCCCAGGCCATGGCGCAGCATGGAGGAGGCACGGATCTGGTTGTCCTCAATGCGGTGTGATTCCATCCCAATAGGTGGGCACTCTGCAGATGCACGGCCTGGGTCAGCGGCTCATGCTCAGCCTCCCTTCACTAGTCCAGAGCCAACAGGCCTATAGCGCATGCCTCTTACATGGGGGTGCCAGTTAGGGCACTTGTATAGCTATGACTCTGAAGACTGCAGATTCCACCCATCTCCAGGGGGTTCAGAGCAGGCCAGGAGCCAGTATGACTCAAGCCTGTTTCCCCTGCGCTAGCTACCATCTGAAGAATGAGCTGATGGTGCCCAACACTTATGATAAATTCCAGCGACTTCACCCAGATGAGGCCCTTTGCACATGACTTCAAAATGAAACCTCTTAAGGAAGCTGGAGACCTCCCTTCCTCCCCTAGGACCTACCCCCATCCCACCACCCAGCTGCTGGACACCAAGAAGTTCTGCCTTCCCCACCCCCTAAGCAGGCCAACCGCGGTCAGAGCACAGGTACGGCTGAGGAAGGCTGGCTCAGCTCACGGGGTTCTTCCATGTGCTACAAGAATCTACAGTGGGATAGGTTTCTGGGGGTCAAAGCTACAC